ATTTGAATTAGTGAAACAAACCCAAAAATCTTTGTAAGACAGAATCTGAATGGTCAGTCAGAATGGTTGCAGAACTCCATCCCAGCAGGCCTAGGATATAAACTGCTCCATGATAAAGTTCATGCTGTGATGTCATTGAATTATAGAATCATAGAATCTGCTGAGTTGGAAGGGACCCATCAGGATCATCATCCAACTCCTGTCCCTGTGTAGGGTACCCCAAGAATCACACCATATTCCTGAGAGCATCATCCAAGGGCTTCTTGAAAGCCCAACCCTCAGAACACACCTGGACTGAAGTGGGTCAGGGCTTGTGTGCTGGTCCCTAATGCAAGAGGCAGAACAGGGCTCTGGCAAATTCTTTACTCTCAGAACAAGATGAGCTCAGCAATCGTATGCACTGGAAATAGCCCTGCCCCACAGGGTCTTCATGTGCCTCCCACCAGCCCCAAAATTCCCTTCCTGCAGGGTACGTCTATTGATGGATTCTGATGCCATGTCTTCTTGAAAAAAAAAAAAGGCTTTGTTTTTTTCAGTTTGCAGCAGCAGTTCAGATTTTTGGATCTTTATCATACAGGCTCTTAGGTCTTCTCTTTGGAGTAGTAGTTTTGGACCTCCCTGGAGTAAACTCTTCCATTGCTAATTTTTTTGCAGTGTCTCCTCATGCTTTCTGCGCCACCTTGGCTTTTTCCTTTTCCTCTTCCATCCTTCCTAGCACCACTAGCCCAGAGCCTGAACACAAAAGCCAAAAAGCTTCTCAGTGCTACTCTGTGCTTCATGTCCTGCCAGCCAGCTGGGAAAACACACTAAAGATTACTCCTTTCTTGCTGCTGATGTTTTCTGGACTCTTTAAGTCCTCATTATTCTGAAGATGCAACCCAGAAAAAGATACTACTACCTAACCATGGGGATAAAGAGAGAGACAAAAACAAAACTGCAGGATCTTGCACTAAAATAGCTTCCTCTCCTCCAAGGCAACACTGTTACCAAACACCCAACAGAGGGGTTGGTTTTTTGTTTGTTTTTTCTGTCTAGCCAGGAAAATTCTACAAAGAGTAGGGTGAGATATCCAGGAGATACCGAGCATAGATATGGACCCAAGTGTTGTGTTTTCAAAGAGCTTTCAAAGGAAGAACCTACAGGAGAACATGGTTTGTGGTTAAGTAGAAAACTACCTTTAAATTCTCTAAGCATTCTGCTGCCCATCAGATCCTAGAGAACACAGCATCTCCCAAATTGTATTAATTCATTAACAAATGCAGCCACATTCTTGAAGCTCAAAATTCAGTCATTTCAGTAGTGTTTCCTACCTAGCTTCTCTCTGACTCCCCAGCCAGTGCTATTTCCCAGCAAACTTAGAAGTCGTCAGGCACTGTGTTCTCAGTCTGAGCAAGGAATCGTGGATACAAACCCCAAACCTGAAACATGGAAATATGCCAATATAAAAAATATTATCCAGACTTGCAAGGCATCAACAAAAGACATCTGAGGGCCTGCTGTAGGAAAAGAGCAACTTCTGAAGAAGCTTGACTGATAACCTGAGATCAAGACATCACGTAGAAGGTTAAAAACATTGGAAAAAAAAGAAAAAAAAAAGTGAATACAACAGTTTTCTAAGTGAAGCTTTGTGTATTAGACACATCTATGCCTATTGGAAAATAGCTGGGCTACAGATCTTTTGCTTTCTCTCCAAGTTTACAGAACACATTAAGTATTTTCACAAGAATTATTTTTACATATGTGCTCTTTTTTACTGCCACGAGTAAAACCAGAGTGGTTTGTTTCTTCTTCATAGATTTCATTAAAAAGGCTCTTCATTTGTGACAAGAAAAAAGAATCCCTCCAATTAAAAGCAGGTTTGGGATAATTCTCCCTTACTTGTCACTCTTCATCTTTCAGGTTGCATTCTACCTTCAGCTGCATTTGTGCAGCCCTGCAGCAGGACACAGTCAAAACCAGACACTGATATTTAGTAATTTCAGACCCAGGAAAGTTATGATTTTTAGTTTTTTTTAGTGGAGTTTCTTTTTGTTTGTTTCTGGTTTTTTTGCATATTTTTTTTTTACTAAAACATGCTTTCCCTGAACACACACAAGTTTTCAAAATCAGTCCTTATTATATTTGTAGACAGACAGCCAAAGGCTTAGGATGAGAAAGATGTTAAGAAGTGCATCAACATTGCTTTCAACATCAGTATGAGTTCCATTACTCTGAGCATTTTAACTCCAGCTTCATGGGGGAGTTTTCCCTGCAATCATAAATAAAACCAGATCCAGCTACACTGAACATTCTTCACATTTTCCTCTACAACATTAAGTTTTACATTAAGCTGGTCAGAGCAGCTTTTGAAAGGCAAAAAACCCCCTCACAGCCTTGGTTTCTGATGGAAGGAACTAACCTGCCCAGGATCAGGGTCTGAACTAGTGCAGCAGGGTCACCTATCGGTACAGTACTGGAACAGTCAAAGTACGTAACTGCCACTTCACATACTTTAACTGCAGATATTGCATTGAGGAGCTATTAGTTTTTTTCCACATTGAGTTTGTAGTTTGAAAAAACAAAAGCAAAACAACCTCCCCTTAAAAACAGAAGGAAAACACCCCCAGAAACATAAGGTGAGCACATGCTCTAACGTGCAACGTGAACAAAGCAGCTGTTAAATGCCTACAACTGAAGTGTTATGAATTCTTCCATTTTAATTGTTATAGACAATTTCAGAAAGGAACTGTTTCCTAGCCCACAACATAGGAGAACAAATGTTAAAATACACTTTCAAGTAAATGATAAAACTTAATGCTTCATCATCAGAAAGCTACCTGGCTTTTAAGTATATAAAAAAGTTATTTCAAATAACATTATGACTGAAAGAAAATCAAGGCCAAAAATCACAGAACTTTGAGTCAGTCTCTTTTCTTGCTATTTGTTAAGTTCATTATTTAAACACAAGATTGTTTTCTTAATTTAATATGCATACTTATACAATGGCTTAAATTAAGGCATAATCCAGCTGGCTGAAATGTTCAGTAAAATGTCTCTGTTGCTCTTTATTAGTAATAATTGGTTCAGATTACTACTGGCAAAAGTGACATAGTCCATTAAAGAGGTGACTGAAACACAGATGTCTTTAGTACTGCTACCTTCCATCAGGGTGATTCATAAACTAAATGTAGTGCAAGGCTTCGGACTCCAGAAGCGTTTCAAAAAACTCACCATTAAATCAATTTACCAGAGAGAGTTTGAGGCTTTAAGCAGAAGCTGCTAAAGCCACAGTGTGGTTTTACAGCAAGCTTTTACATTTTAAAGAAAGAATACTGTCCACCCATTGGGAAACAGATAAAAACAGAAGTTATCTTAAAAAATAAACTTTTGGAAGACTAGTCAAAAAGACAATGGCTGAAACTTAACGGACAGACATTAAAAGACAGCTCTTCAGAATCCAACTCAACATGCCAACTGGAGACTCTTAATTTAAAGGCATTGCCTCTGGTCATGTTGCTATCATGATACTTCTGTAAATGACATTCTGGGCTCTCAAGTACTCTGAAAAATACTTATTTTATGTAATTTGGAATATATTCTAAAATCATAGAATACTTCCATTTCCGATTTCAGTTTTAACGTGAAGTGTTTGAGGCTTTTTGGAACTGCAATTTAAGCATAGAACAGATACCTTTGATAAAGTCAAATGTTCTTAAGTGAAATAAATAATAGGGAAATAACATAATTCTTCTGTGTATATTAAAGTTGATGAATAATAGACTCAATCATATTACATAGGAAAATGCACAATTTCAGGAAGTCAAAGACCAGTGAATTGAAAGTAAGACCAGCTGCACCCCAAAACGTTTTAAATTTACAAACTTAGTATTTCACAATGTCAGGTAGCAAGAGGTGCAAAATAATAGGCTAGATCACAGCCTCATTCCAGAACCTGGCCGGCCATGCTTTGGCTTCTGTTGAGACAGACAAAACATGAATGAGGCAGCTGATTAGATACTGAGAAGCAAGCGGCTTTAAATCACAACCGACTATAGCACCATATGTGCTCCCTTGGGAATGAAAACACCAGATTATTTTCTTCAAAATTAGAAATTGAAATTATAATCCTTAAGAAAGTAGAAGCTCAAAATCCCAAACATATGAACTTTTACTGTTTTGCTTTAACATTTCCCCAATGAAAACACTGCTTATTTAATCTTTGTATAATGCTACTACCTATTTGCTTACATACTTGGCTTGTATTTTATTTCTAAAGCATTAAACATTCTTAATACGCTTCTGCTTGTAGACAGTGTTCTGTGACAAACTATTTTCAGAGACAGCCACCAGACCTCATACAGGTGCTTGGAAAGCTTCCTTTCATCCTGTTTTTTAAACTAAACTAGAAGCCAGCCCGGGTACCTGGAAGTAAAAACAAAGTTAAGAGATGCATTTAATGCACCATGGTAGTAAAAATTCCTTCAGAGTCTGGTAATTTGACCATTCTCTGCATTTCCTGAATGTCAGTTTCTACTAAAGCATTTCCTTGTATCAATGTCTATGACAAGTAGGGAAAAGTAGAGTAAAAGGTGAGAAAAGGGAAAGTGCTAAAATAACTGGCATGGTTCTCTCAAGCATTGCAGTAGACTTGTTCAATGCTTTGCCTTCCTGTTAACCTACACTATGCTGAAGCAGCAAAACAGTCACACAAGTACAGAGTACTGTGTAAATAAAGACTCTTAATACTACACTGGTATAATGAAAATGGAACAGTCAAAGGCATTCACTAATAAATGATCATTGAAATCCATCAGAACCTTTGTAGAGCACCATATTTCATGAAGATGTTTAAGTGTGTGGCTGTATCGAAGCTGGAAGCAGAACATTCCTTGTTGGACTTGATGATCAGACTCCCAGTGAGGTTCCTCAATGAATGCAAACACTACTAAACCAGTCCTAAATACATACTGGTTTTAAATGGATATGTTTGTGAGGGAAAATAAAGGAGTTCTCATTATCATTCATTCCAGCTGTTTTTGCTCTGCATGTAAGCGTTTGCTTTCAGGGTCGTCTTTATTCTGACCAACTGGTTCCTCACTCTGCGCAACAGAGATTTCTGCCTGGTCCGTCTTTGTGTCAGTATCAGCCAGCTCCTCTGCAGCTGAGTTAGGGCCATGCAGCTCCTTCACGTGGAGGGTGGGACTGGTCGTTTGCTCTGTGTCTTGCTGGGAGGCTGGTACATTGCTATCTTTGGGAAGCTCAGGGCTGTTGACAGGAGCTATCACCAAGGGAGGCTGAGGTAGGTCTTTCTGTAAATGGAAGGTAACAGAATGAAGGGAACAATCAGCAAGAATTACGTGTCCAGTTATCAGGAGTGATGGTTATACAAGATGAAGATTAAACATACATCATCTTCATTATCCTTCTCCAGAATTGAACACATGCACACAGTTAACCTGTCCTTGAGTTTTATCGTACACGGGGGAATTATCTTCCAGAAACATGTTTAATTTTGTCCTGCCCAGGTGTTACCTGCTGATTTCATGTGCTCTGCTGATCACAAAGCAACAAACAGCACTTTGGCACTTTGTCCTTCTCAGTTTTTGCTCACCTTTGCTATCAGTGTACAACAACTGGCAACTTTGCCATCACATTTCAGATGATCTAAAATCTTTTATTAACAATTAAATTCAGTTCCCCAGAGGAAAGGTATGAAAGTTATCACAAACAGTGGAATAAGAAAGTAAAACTCACTGGGAGGTACCTCTAGCTTGATAGACTTCCTCTTTAAGTAATTATTCAAGAACTATAATCATGGATCACAATAGAAGTTATTCCTTTTGGAATCAAATTAATTTCACTTGTATCCCAGTGAAACAAAGTGTTAGTTTCCTATAAGCAGTAGGCTATGAAAATATATTTTAAGAATTAATTTAAGAAAATATCTCCTGTAACATTATTAAAACATATTTGATATAATATTTAATATTTTACTACTACTACCACCAGTACATTCAACAGAGATCAAACCAGTAAAATGATGGTAGAATCAAGGACAGAGAAGGTCTACTTTACTTTTCGCAAGCCAATTTAAGTGTCCATAAACACTAAAAAACAACTTAGTGAGGCAAAAAGGCATGTAAAAAAGCAAGCATTCAAACAAAACAAAAACCTTTGCTTTTTGGTTGATAATACTACAATATTTTACTCAACTTTAATTCTAGTTAGGTTTTTATAATATTAGTATTTCTTGAAGACACTCATATCAAACTGGTATTCACCGCAAAGCCGCTGCCCGTCCAGAACATTGTGAGCTCCTTTCTCCAAAGAGCCACAGCAAAGCTGGTGAGAAGAGTACAGGGTACCAGGTAGAGGAGAGCAGGCTGGCCCATCTGCATCAGTGCCAAGGCAACAAAGGTCACAAGAAGGCCTATGCCATAGGCTGGAAGAAAACAAAACCAGTAAAACCCAGTTCTTCAGATACAGCTCTGCTCAAGAACAACTCAATAATTAGTTAGATAAGCTTTCTAACAGGAATTTTTTGCAAGTCATATTAAACCTTACTTTTTTCAAGTAATATTAAATCTTCAAAATTTTTTCAGGCCTCTTTAGATACAAGCAGTATATACATCACGTACACCTGGAATAGTGCTTTAATTAACAGAGATACTACAGTCTTATCACCTTGTGAAAGTAGTGTGATCAGCCCAGTCCACACTGTGCAATTAAATCTTTACCTTAGGCACTTTGAGAAAAGCAAAATAAACACCTGAAATGTTGTTCCCAGTATTGTATTTATGATACAGACAATTATTTTGAGCTTTATAACATGTGCTTCTTTGTTTGGCTTTGGCTGTTTCTTACTGTCCCACAGCACCACTGAAAAAACATCAACAAATGGTAACAAATTCAGCTGGCTTGTTTGCTATTACTTTTGATTTAATTTCTGCATATATTCTGCAAAAAATATTAAGCAGAACATAAGCAGCTAGGATCTCATATTGTAATTATTTTCAATTACATTTTCTGAACAATGAAGCTAAATCCAACTGATTTTTGTTCAGGAACCAGAGGAAGAAAGATGTTGAGGTGCTGGAGTACATCCAAGGAAAAACAATCGAGCTGCTGAAGAGCTCTGTATGTGGTCAGCTGCCATTGTTGCCATATTTGACACTGCTGCTCTTTCTCAATACAACATTTTTCTACCCATTTCTGTAAATGTGTTTTGAAAGTACCAGGTAAGTTTCATTTTCATTTAAAGTTTCATTTAAGTGTATAAGCGAGGACATTATTTAAGACTTGGTACATTGAAATAAAAACATTTCCCTAGCCCTGCTGTAAGTCTCCAAGAAGACAGAATTTCTAAAGCAGTTTGTAATGAAAAGTTTTCATGACATTGACTGCAAGCATCTTAAGTCTTTTCTAGATTAAATACTTTGTAACAAATCCAACAGAAATCTGTAAGATCCTATTCATCAGTAGCCTAAGTTCATGGCATGGAACTCTGAATTAAAAAACTAAAGACAACTAACGTAGTGGTGTTAGAACCATTAGAAAACAATTATTTGCATCACAGGTCACAGATTTTTGGAATATACAAGATATGAAGAGCAAAGACAAGGGAAGATACCCCTGAATCTGAATTCTAATATGTAATAAATTCAAAGATTAACTAATCACTAAACCAGAATGGGTAGCTCAGCATGTATAAAGATAGTGTAAGACAAACTGTGGTAATAACAAGCTCCTCTTACATATGGCAGACAAAACAGCTCAGCAAAATGACATCAGGTAACTTGGTAAGGGAAAGTACTTTGCTAAAGTACTTTCTTCATAATAAAAGAAGAAGAATAAAAACCCTGAATTATGTAATATGAGCAATATTGCAGCACTACAGGTTTGGGGAGGAGTGGCTGGAGAGCTGCCCAGCAGGAAAGGACCTGGGGGTGCTGACCAAGTAGCTGAACATGAGCCAGCATCTGCCCAGGTGGCCAAAAAGGCAAACACCATCCTGGCTTGCTTCAGGAATGGTGTGGTCATCAGGAGGAGAGAGGTGATCCTGCCCCTCTACTCGGCCTTGGTGAGGCTGCACCTGTGTGCAAATTTGGGCACCACAGGATAGGAAGGACATGGAGGTGCTGAAGAGGGGGCAGAGAAGGGCAACTAGGCTGATTATGGGTCTGGAGAACAGGTCCTTTAAGGAGAGGCTGAAGGAGCTGAGGCTGTTCAGCCTGGGGAAGAGGAGGCTGAGGGGAGACCTCATTGGTCCCAAAACTGCCTGAGAGGAGGTTGTGGTGAGGCGGGTGTTGAGCTCTTCTCCCTGGTGACCAGCGATAGGACAAGAGGAAATGGGGTCAAGTTGCACCAGAGGAGGTTCAGGCTGGATATTAGGAAAACTGTCTTCACAGAAGGAGTGGTGGGGCCTTGGAACAGGCTGCCCAGGGAGGGGGGTGGGGGCACCATCCCTGGAGGTGTTCAAAAAAGGCGTAGATGTGGTGTTTCAGGAGATGGTTTAGTGGTTAGGGCTTGTAGGGGGGATAGTTGGACTTGATCTTGAAGTCTTTTCCAAACTTGACAAATGGTATACTTTTAAAGGGAGCAACTCCTGTAGGTGTTGTGTTCAGGTGTCACTGTTATACATACCTATAGTGCAGGCTACAAAATAGACTCTGGAGGACTGCACCTGAATATCAAATCTGTGGCAATAGGCCACCAGCAAGCCTAGCAAAGAAAAGAACAATTATAAGCTGATTTCAACCCATTCACGTGGTAAGATACACAAAACCATAAAATTATCTAGGAGTTCTTTTCAACACTTGGGCACCCTGGTGTTTCAGCACTATGACAGCACATGTCAGGAGGCTGCACAGCTCACAGAAGGGTTATATGGTAACACAAGCCCAGAACAACAGATGCACTCCAAGAGAGATGTTTTATACTATAAAATCAGTTGCTAAATCAATTATTGAGATTTCTCCTTATTTCTTGACATCACTTAATGTGAAACTGAACCATAAGATTATTATGCATTTAATACATTTATGGAAAAAGTGAATAGTGCAGAAAAAAGGGCCTCTTTAAAAGGGCTTTAGTGAGAGTGTCATGTCCAGTTCTGGGTTCCCCAATTCCAGAGGGACAGGGATCTACTGGCGAGAGTCCAACAGAGGCTACAAGGATGACGAAGGGACTGGAACACCAGCCTGAGGAGGAAAGGCTGAAAGACCTGAGAAGAGTGAGAGGGGATCTAATGAATGTCCCTAAATACATGAGGGCTGGAGGTCAAGAAGGCAGGGACAACCTTGTCACTTGTGCCCTCTGACAGGACGAGGGGCAATGGATTCAAACTGGAGCCCAGGAAGTTCCACCTCAACATGAGGAAGAACTTGTTTGCTGTGAGGGTGACAGAGCCCTGGGACAGGCTGCCCAGAGAGGTTGTGGAGTCTCCTTCTCTGGAGACTTTCCAGACCAGTCTGGATGCCTTTCTGAGTGACCTGCCCTAGTATTTAGTCCTGATCTGGTGGGGGGTTGGACTCAATAATCTCCGCAAGTCCCTTCCAACCCCTGACATTCTATGATTCTGTGAATATAAAAAATACACTTACAAATTTTGAGGTTTACAGAAGTCAAATCAAACTCCCCCCTTGAAGCAGAAGTACAAGATGAATAAACTAATATGACAGTACAACAAGTAAAAACATGCTGAAGAAGAAATACCTGGAACTAAAATGTCTCCAAATCCTAGCAGAGAAAAAGGCCTGTCACACAGAGCCAGTGGTGAGGAGTTCAGCCGTGGCACTTTCAGGACCATTGGGAGCTTGGAATGAGAGAGACATGCCTGATGAAAAGCTGTTTTCTCTACATACTACACCTACCACAACTTGTTCCTGTTGCACTGAAACTGCAGACTCCCTATAGGGCAAATGTACCTTTTTTACATTTGAGATCCTTATGTTTAAAATATTTTATCAATATTACTGACAACTAGCAAAATGTATTTAAGATAGTAGTGATAGACTACTTTCTAAAACACACAGCCAAGTGTGCATGACAGACATCTCGTGTATTAATTTTAGTCTCACATGAATGGGGTATCAACTCTGCTTTAACTGCAGAACAGAAAAAAGCCATGGTCATGAAAAAACCTTTCATTCTACTGTTTGCAATAGAAGTCTCAAAACAGGAAAGACTTCAATACTTTTAAAAAGTGACTTTTTCAAATAACTTCAAAGACTTTTTTCCCAAACTGTTCCTACTTATTAAATAATTTGCAATGCTGAGGTACAGTACAGTAAGGTTCATTGCAATCACATATTCTCTTTAATACAGAATTTTATTTTATTCTGTTAGTGCCAGATAATTTTATCTATTTATATTGTCATCATTGTTTCATACTATTAATTTTGTGCATAGGGGCTCATGTGAACTTCATGAGGTTCAACAAGGCCAAGTGCAAGGTCCTGCACCTGAGTGGGGACAACTCCTGGTATCAAAAGGCTGGAGAGGAGGGGACTGAGAGCAGCCCTGTGGAGAAGGACTTGGGGGCCCTGCTGGGTAAAAAGCTGGACATGAGCTTGCAACGTGTGCTGGCAGCTCAGAAAGCCAACTGTGTCCTGGGCTGCATCTCCAGCAGCGTGGCCAGCAGGTCAAGGGAGGGGATTGTCCCCCTCTGCTCCACTCTGCTGAGACCCCCCTGCAGGGCTGGGTACAGCTCTGGTGTCCTTGGCACAAGAGCTGTTGGGGTGGGTCCAGAGGAGGCCACAAAACTGATCCAAGGGCTGGAGCAGCTCTGCTATGAGGACAGGCTGAGTGAGTTAGGGTTGTTCAGCCTGGGGAAGAGAAGGCTCTGAGGAGACCTTACTGTGGCCTTTCAATACTTAAAGGACACCTTTAAGAAAGATGGGACAAACCTCTTAGCAGGGTCTGCTGCAAGAGGACATGGGGTGATGGTTTTTCAACCAAAAGAGGGTAGATTTAGGTTAGATAAGATATAAGGAAATATTTTTTTTTTATAATTAAGGTAGTGAAACACTGGCCCAGGTAGCCCAGAGAGGCAGTAGGTGTCCCATCCCTAGAAACATTCAAGTTCAGGCTAGAAAGGGTTCTGAGCAACCTGGTCTAGTTGAAGATGTCCCTGCTCCCTGCAGGGGCGTTGCAGCAGATGACCTTTAAAAGGTTCCTTTCATCTTAAGCCTTTCCATCACTATATAAAACTGAAACTAAAGGGGTACTTATAGGGTACAAAAGACAAGAACCTAAGAAGTTAGAGACATTAATATGAATTGAATGGATTGATCCACTTGTAGTTCATCCTGCAAATTTTCTTTACTATTTTCCTGTGTGCCAGTATTACATTTATTGCTGAAGAGACCCAACGTCCTTAAATTGTCAAAACCAGTTTTCCTACAGATTCATTTCTTACTTCTTTTGCACACTAGATTTCTCTCTTTCCCATATCTCACATACTTTCCTCCCAAAATCAGCCACATCATCTTGTACAGCTCTTTGCACACAGCTGGCTGCTGCCAAACATTACAGCACCACTGAACAGAATTCTTTCTTTCTCCAGTTTGTCTCTCCTTTGCCTACAGCCTCTGCTCTTCATAAAGCAATTACCAAAACAGAGGAAGAGGGTCAAGAGACAAACTGAACACACAAGTTTTATCTCTTTAGGTACAAATCGATGTGCTTTGTTAGCAGTAAGTTCTATTTACAAATGTGGTTGCATTTCCTGTGAAGCTGAGCTAACCAGCTTCCTTATACTGAATCCCTTCTAAAGCAAGATAAAGGAAGACCAAAGTTGTGGAGATGAACCATTAAGTCTGTGAGAGCTCAGGAGTGTTTATTTTCACATTAAATTCTTTTCAGCCTGGCATCTTCACTTCAGCTTTGTGGTCTGCATTTCAGAAAAGATGAAAGTGTAACAGCTGGAAATTAGAGCTATATTTTCATACTACCTACAGTACCTTTTCATGAGTGGCAGAATCAGATGGGCCTGCAGCCACCTCCACCATTATACTCTCCCCAGTCTAAAAGAAAAAAACAAGGGAGAATTGTAAATTAGTAGTTTATTCAGCAGGTCTGGCATCACTTACTAACACATGGAGTAACAGGTCATTCCACTTTGCTCTGTGAATCTTTCACTTACCTTTGTTAGAAAAGGTGTGATAAATACAAAGAACACATCATACACAAAAAGAACCAGGAGGAGCAACGTACAACCCTGAAGGAAGAGACAAAATACTTGGTATTTACAAACTATGCATTAGTAAACAGCAAAGAATTAATAATTAGGAACTTAAGACTAGTCAAGGCAAAAGCTAACAAGGACTAAAGGCAGGTTTAATTCCTAAATATTTTACATGGAGGAATTGGGTCTTGCACGCACCATAGAAATAAAGTAATTTTTAGACATAAAGTTACATGTTAGTGCCTAAAATTCTTTATCATGTAAAATCTGAAAGATTTGAAAAAACACCAGAATGACGCAACAAGTGTAGATCAAATTTGGAAAAAACCCCAAAACCAAAAATCATTCCCAAAAAACCCCTCATAAGTGAGTGTGTGACTTACTAGTAGTCAATACTCTACAGAAGTTACCAAACACCATGTGTAACAATCACAGGCCACATACTGGTCTACGATATACTCATTGCATCACTCTTTTTCAATCTACATATGAATGGAAATGCATTTCCAAGCCCATGTTCTCCATCATAACTGGCTCCTTACTTCAGCTATCAAGAGGCAAACATCCTTTTTTCATATCTGTTGAAATTTTATACCTTAAATGTAGGCAGGCGAATTGTTTTCAACATGTAGAGACAAAAAGCGATTCCTAAAGCATCTTGCAGAACCCAGGCCCACCTAAATGGAGAGAGACATTTTTGAAGGAAACAGTAGGAAAGCCACACCAAGCTTTATCATAGAATCACAGGGCTTGGAAGGGATCTCTGAAGATCATCAAGTCCAACCCCCTTGGCTGCAGCAGGAACACCCAGGTCAGATCACACAGGAACATGTCCAGATGGGTCACGTTCCAAAGAAGGAGACTCCACAACCTCTCTAGGCAGCCTTTCCCAGGGCTCCATCACCCTCATAGCAAAGAAGTTTCTCCTCACGTTGAGGTGGAATTTCCTGTATTGTCACTTGGTGCCATTTCTGACATCCCAAAGGTCCTTCTCCATGGGGCTAATTTCTAGCAGGTCAACCCCTAATCTATACTGGTGCATGGTGCTTTTTCTCCCCAGGTGCAGGACTCTACTCTACACTTCTTGTTGAACTTCATGAGGTTCATATTTGCCCAGCTCTCCATTCTGTCTAGATCTCGCTGCCCAGCCTTCAGGTGGATCAACTAACCCTCCCAGGTTTGTATCATCCGCAAACTTGCTGAGGACACACTCCATCCCCTCATCCAGGTCACTGATGAAGAAGATGTTGAATAAGACTGGGCCCAGTGCTGATCCCTGGGGAACAACACTAGTCACAGGTCTCCAAGTGGACTCTGCACCATTGATCACAACCCTCTGGGCTCTATTGTTTCACCAGTTCTTGATCCATCTCACTGTCCGCTCTTCTCACACTTCCTGAGCTTATCCAGAAGGATGTTATGGGAGACAGTGTCAAAAGCCTTGCTGAAGTCAAGGAAGACATATCCACTGTTCTCCCTGCAACTATCCACTCTGTCACACCATCATAGAAGGCTACCAGATCAGACAGACATGATTTCCCCTGGGTCAATCCATGCTGACTACTCCTGATAACCTTCTTTTCTTCCACGTGCTTAGAGATGACCCCAGAATGAGCTGCTCCATCATCTTTCCAGGCATGGAAAAGGCATGGAGGTGAGGCTGACTGGTCTGTACCCAGGTCCTGTTTCTTGTCCTTCTTGAAGACTGGAGTGACACTGGCCTTCCTCCAGACCTTAGGCACCTCTCCCATTCTCCAGGACTTTTCAAAGATGATGGGGAGTGGTCTAGTGATGACTTCTGCCAGCTCCCTCAGCACACATGGGTGCATCCTATCAGGGCCCACGGATTTGTAGATGTCCAGTTTCTTTAACTGATCCTTAACACAATCTTCTTCAATCAAGATGAAATCTTCATCACTCCTGACTTCTTCTGTGGTCTGGAAGGTTTGGGAATCCTGAGGGTCAGCATTAAAGACTGAGGCAAAGAAGGCATTCAGTAACTCCACTTTGTCCATACCCTCCATCACCAGGGCACCCACTTCATTCAGCAGTGGGTCCACATTTCCTCTGGTCTTCCTTTTACCTCCAATGTACTTGAATAAGCCTTTCTTGTTGATCTTGACTTCCCTCTGGATGAGCCCTGGTAACTCTTGTCCTCTTGCTAACTCCAGGCTCGTTTCTAGTGGGCCTGGTTTTATCCCCCACCTCCTTCAATCCTAGTTTAAAGCCCTCTCAAAGAGCCTCACTAACTCTTGGCAAAGAATCCTTCTCCCCCTTGTTGATAGTTCCACACTATTTTTTGCTAGCAGACCCGGTGCCTTGTAAACATCTCCATGATTGAAAATTCCAAAGTTCATCTGATGGCACCAGCCTCTAAGCCATTCATTAGTCAGCTGTGTTTCCCTAATCCTTTCAGCTTTCCTTGCCACTGAAGGAACTGAGGAAAAGACCACCCCATTAAGGACCTGCTTGGAACAAAAAACTTCATTAAAAGTACTTGCTTGAAATCAACATTGTTGACAGCATAGATTCACAAATGGGAAGTTGTGCTTGCTCAAACTGATAACCTTCTACAGTGATAGGACTGATTTCATAGCTGAGGGAAGAACAGTGAGGATACTGCCTACCAAGATTTCAGCAAGGCTTTCCAAGGCTTTTCACTGAGAATCTCCCAAAGATCCTCATAGAAAAGATGATGAAGTATAGGCTGGATGAGCAGACAGTGAGGTGGATTGAAAAGTGGCTGAATGAGGTCAGTGGTCCTTTGGCCTCTGTGTATGTGTACAATCTTGTGTGCTGAGAGAAGCCTACAGCTGTTAGGTACAGAAGGACCAAGACTCCACAGTTTACTCTTGATTGCTACAATCAAAGAGAAGTAGGATCTGAGATATGGAAAACTAAGGTTTACCTAAAATCAATGCTAGATGCAGATGGGAGATTAAGCTGTTGTGATCAATACCTAAGAAGTTGCTGATAGAGCTTTCTGCAGGAGACATTTAGGTTCACTCCAGTTTTGAGGCAGAAAATGGATTTCCTAGTCCTAAATATTTCAGGTTGGAATAGATCTATAGTACTTCTGTATTTCTCAGTCTGACACTTATTTCTCTAAAAGGTGTTTCAGAGTTGATGTTCCCTTTGTTTATGAGTTTTGTCAGTGAATGATCCACAGCCTTAATACAAAAAATGTACCCCACAAAGGCAGTAACAGGCATTCCAGGAACAAACAAGGTATCTCTGGTACCACCAGCAGAAACACAGGACAGCATTTCAGTTCTAACACAGAATCCCTCAGAGGAATCAAGAAGAACACATCATGTATATATGGGGAACCTGGAGCATTTGGGAGTGAGGTAAAGGGTAAAAAACCCCACCAAAACCCAACAAAAACTCTAACAAAAGTGGTAAGAGAATGCTATGATTAGGAACTGCAGCAATACTGAACATACAGAATTATTTACTCATACCAGACTTCTGAGAGAAACTAAAGATCTGACAATCTTCACAGCATTTATTGTCTCTGAACAAATGCACATGCAGACCATCTCACCTGAAGGAACAAGTTAAGACAGCTTGTGTCCAACTTTCCATGCCACTTCTGAAAAGCTGTCTTTTAAACCAAAGAGATCAGAACATAAATGGGAACTCAGAGAAATCAAAGCTTAACATGATACAGTTTTCCATAACTTAGTGACAAAGCAAAGATGTAGAACATATGGAACAACTAAGAATTTCTGCCCAAGTCTCTAGTTTCTTTCCTGTCACTCCTAAATTCAGGATAAGTTTAGGCTTCTATGGATGTCAGTGACTTCTGCTATAAAGCATATTACATATGTACATATTACAGGAAGCTGAATCAGGGGAGGTTTAGGTTGGATATCAGGAAAAGGTTTTTCACCCAGAAGGTGGTTGAGCACTGGAACCAGTTCCCCAGGACAGTGGTCCCAGCACCAAGGCTGCCTGAGCTCAAGAAGCCTTTGGATGATGCTCTCAGGCACATGGGGTGATTCTTGGGGTGCCCTACACAGGGACAGGAGTTGGACTCATGATCCTGATGGGTCCCTTCCAACTCAGCAGATTCTATGATTCTATGATTTCTAGCACAGAAAGTAAAATATACACTTACTGATCTTCATTTCTGAAGACTCCCCAGATTGCACTGACAGAGATACAAAATATTGCCAACAGCAACATCCGGACCTGCGGACGCTTGTGAAAATAAGGCAAGTTGTTGTCTGGGATTCTGAAAATGAAACACACCAAAGCTACAGTTGTCTGTGTAGTTACCCTCCTCTATTATAAACATTTTGAATTATGAAAACCCCACATCTACCCAAATGATAAACATTTAATTTTGCCTATTAAAAACTTGGAAGTTGCCACATACCTACATTTTCCCAAGGGGAATCTTCTTACAAAGGGAGACAAACAACTGTAAAGTCCAATCGAGGCAGCCAGGCAGAAGATTCCTATGATAACATAGACTAAGAAAGAAAAAGGAGTGAGTCCAAGTAGGACAAGGCAAGAGATGCTTTCTTTGAAGTGTCCATCAGAAAGCCTGAATGAGAAATAAGGCTTAAATTTCATCAGTGAAAGTTCAATTCAGAGGCTTTATATGATTGTTAATTGGATTTATGCTCTTTAAATGTCTAATTCTAGCTCATTTTACTCAGGTGTACTTTATGCAATAGTTACTTCAACAAATCAAAATCTCTGTGAATCTCTGAATCTTAAATTCAGTCATTGAATCATAAGCCTAAAAGGCAATTTATAGTGAAGTGTTTATCTTCTCATTATGATCATTCAGGAGCATTAAATCACTCAGTAGCAAAATGCATTAATACAGATGAGATGCATCTTTTATAACATACTCAGAAACAGGAGGACAGAAGTTCCAGTACATCAGGCTCTCATATTCTTTTATCAATCAATTTGATAAGTGATGACTAGAAACTTAGCATCTTTATAAAGATAAAAACATTTATCTTGGAACGCATAACTTATATTCAAATTGGATAATAACAGAAAGAAAAGTATAGATTTGAGAACACCTTTGAAAGGTGCAAGACATTGACTGTGTCTACTTAACAGGCTTTAACATTTGAAAGAAGCTTTATGATCCACCTAATCTTGCAGGGTTTTAAATCATATTGGGATGAAGCAGAAGACAGCCCCTTCATTAAGATTTTCATGGTTAAAACCTTCTTTAAACTATGGTAGCCTTGTGATAATGAAGTTATATCAATAAAAATACAAATTTAAGAGTACCTAAGTGGTCATAGAAGAAATAAAGGAGGACCAGCATTGAGCAGCACATCACTACAAATACACAGATCATGATTGGAGTCACATCAACTGTTTCATCATCATGTTTCTCTGCCCCATCATCACGTTTATGCTTCATGTACCGTCTGAAAGAGTAACATGGCAATAATCAGTCCATTCCTTCTGCAACAAAATATCAAAGGACACTGAATCTTTACCAAGTATTACATGGGGTTAGAAAACATGACAGGACACCAAAGCTTGCATTGATTTCCACTCAAGTAAGTGGAACTTCACATTTTACATGGATGGATGAACATCAGAAATCACACAATGCATAAACCAGTAACTGTTGCATTAATTTATCAGGAGTACTATTTTTAATTCACCAAGAATTCAACAGAATCCTGAAAACTACCAAAGAATAATTTGCTGACTTTACAAGAAATCCTGAAGTCAGAATGTGTATAGAAAGTAAATGTTAGAAAGACATATAGCACAGACAACTTCCTCTCCTCAACTGAACTTACTGGCAAAAGTAACAATAAAATTTCAATTAAAGATTAATAATAAACATAGTACAATTTAGCCATCTGATCCGTTTGGTTTGCACTATACAAGTAAAACCCATTTTTATTTACAAAATATTTTGATGGTGAATTGTTGCAAAAGCCTGTTACTATCTAATTTTCCTTCTGAGCTTTTCAAAGCTTTTGCCTTTCTTTTTGGCCAAGACAAGATACTAAAACACTTTAGATGCAAATTCTACTCAAATAATTTCATACAATGACAAAGCCAATAAAATGCTCAGGGGCTTTCAAGTGTCACATCAGCATTTTACCCTTCTGGTTATATAGAGTCTCTGAACCTCATTGTTCTTAGACAAATACCAGGTTTTTTTTGGGTTTTTCTTGTGAAAAATAGCAAAAAACCAACATACTACATTCTAGTTACTCACTTTTTCACATCTCTGCTCCCTGCCCAGTAGCCTCCAATTGCAACAGTCCCCACAGCCATGACAAATATAATCACCATGTTATAGTCCAGCACAGGCTCATTTGGTGCATACATTGCCCCTTTCACTGAGCTGCCAAAACTCTGTAGAGATAAATACAAGTTATGAAGAACTTCCAAAAAGCCACCTTAGCAAAGGTCCACTTATTTGGTTTTTATTAAACAACCTCAGAATCAAGCCTAATCATAAATACTTAAGAGCAATCTATTGACTCTGCTATTAGTGTTATTTATTTCCAGCATGAGGCTTCATTTTTATTTTATTCTGAAGATGAGAAATAACCTCTCAAAAGATGTGCAATTTTTTTTTTCAGAACTTCATTATGCAGTGTTCATAAACTCTCTACAGATTCAAAGCTCTTAAGGACTTTAAATACTGTTGAGTAATGACTCATTTAAACGAGATAATATAAATAAGTGCATTTTGTATTGAGTTTACCTTGCCAATATCTAACATATCAGTATAGCTGAGCAGAGCCACAGGAATATCAATCTCTTCATATTGACTCCTGTTACCCCCAGGAGGTACCTGAAAGACAGTCCAGACCAGGTGAGACTACATTAATTTCTGTAATTACTATTACTTCAAAAGAGTTGCAAGTTCTATTTCTTTTAATTTGGAAAATATTCTAGAAAGGAAAATCATAAGAAAACACCCCAAGTCAAAATGTAAGTCTGTTTCCAGTAAAACCTAAATAAAGACTGTAACAGCAAAATGCAGCAACCAAACTTCAAGCAGAATCTTTTGCACATCAGGGGCATGGTTTTATGACTGATGCGTGCCTCTGGTTTTGACTACAGTATCCAAACCTGTTAATTTTACAAAACATACACAGGGGATGCTCCAGCTGAATCTAAAGCACTAGATTCACTGAGCTCTAGATCTCACTGAAGGCAGCAGTATGAGTCAAGAGACCAACCTCCTCCTTTGATTCCGGTATTTCACATGACCTAAGGATAATTTTGAGCTCTTGACTTGACTGTTACCAGGGCTAGAAGCAGAACTCTTCCTACTTAAGTGAGTACCTCCTGCTTCATTAATCCTTCCTTCACATTGCCACACAAAGCTATGCAATGTATACACACATGAACACACAAAAATATATTATTCACTTAAAAGAGGAGCATCAAATACCAGCAGTGAGCAATGACAAGACAGTATCTAACATGAGAGGAGTATCTTTCTGTCTTTCTATATTGCTGACACTTACCAGTCTCTCTCTACTAACAATCAGCAGCCCACGAGCTCCATTTATCTGAGCAAGCCTCACTTTCTCATAGAAGGTGCAGTTCCCTCTCATCACCATAGGGATCTGATTATTAAATCCCCCATCAGGTACATCAGAAGGAGAGCACAAAACAGAAGCTGTCTGATCCTGCAGTTGCAAGAGTGACTGAAAAGAAATAAATTAGTTACATATATATTTATAAAATAAAATTAGAAAAGAAGTCAAAAGCAGAAACCCCAGATTTTCTAAAGGATAATTTAGAACTTTCAAGTAATGGAGGGATAGATAATTCTTGAAATAACTTGAAAGCCAAAACAGAGCTGCCCTCTCTATGATAGAGGGTCTTGCATCTTATTGTACAGAATTCTGCTGGTAGTAAAATATGAGTTATAATCTGCACTTGCATTTATTTTCTTCAGCACTGTTGCTGTTCTGATGCACACATCCAGGAAGTAAGAGAAGAGTCAAGTGTTATAATTGTTGGGGTGGCACTGAGTGGTAGGCTGAGATGGGATATGAAGAGATAAAACCATAAACACAGGCGGGGTAAAAATAAACTTCCATTTTGAAACCAACAATATCCAGTTAGCTGAGATTTTGGATCCTAAGCACCTGGGTACTGGCTTCTAAGCTGCTTCTGTCACTGCTTGCAATTCAGAGATGTTGCAGGCCTCCCTCAGTACTACTGAAATATGTCTCCAGTGCATTTTTATGAGACTGGTTGAAAGAAGGTGTCTATATTACAGTCTCCAGCTCGCAGAAATCTTAAGAGTCTGTAATGCTAGAGACTCTGTGGGAAGTCTGCCTGGATCTAGTCAAACTAGACCCTAAGTCTCTCAAACCATCTTCATGCACTTCTGGGTTGCCACTTCTGCTGTTGAAGCAAAGGGACACAGTCTGTGCCCTTCCTGAGTTCCAATTACAGAGCCAGATCAAGTGCTAGTTTATTAGCTGGATCTACACAAAAGCAAAGGCATCTGAGCTATGTACCTAGGGAGTAATCTTCAGTTGCGATAAACCCACCAATTAAGCCTGGATTATACATTGATAAGGAACATTAATAATGCTGTGTAGCACTGCACTAGTAGAGTAAGAAATACAACTAATAAAATGAACAAAGTATCAGTCACTATTCCCCATCTTCCCCAACTAGTAGCTCATTCAAAGTATATCTGCTGATTTCATCATTCAGTAACAGTAACTTTTTCTCACTGAGAAGAGTGAAGAATTGACTCAATTGTCAGCTCATACAGCTTTGGATAATACAGCAAGAGGTTTAGAGAGTTTGTGATTACTTATTATTCCACTTGGAAGAAGTATGAACCACTCAGAAAGCCCTGAAGGTCGCAGTTTAGTATATTAGAAAAGCCATGCAGTATCTTCCTGTATCGTACTGGCATGTAAAAACTCCTTTCCAACCACAGGGAAGTGCCATTTTCATTTAATTCATAATGTTGTGCAAAAGGAAGATTTTTTGTTTGAACCAAAAATAGTCACTAGCTCTGCATGCTGCTTGGAAAAGAAAATTGCCATCATAGCACTGCCCAGGGTTGATCTTAACAGATTAAAACAATCTTCTAAGTAGAGCAAACAAAGTAGTTGCTTCCAATTCTACTAATCCAAGTTAGAAATTATAGGTTTCTCTGAAACAAGGGGTTTTAAAATACATTATTCTGTCAGTGCTTGGCTAGGTACTTACAGCTTTACCCAGATCATGTGGTAAATGGGCCCACTGAGAGTTGAAGAGGATACAGTAGTCTTTTCCTTTGCTGCTCCCTTTCTCTGAGAGTACATGTACCATCCCATACTCGCAGTATACCTGAAAACGTAACAAAAACGTCATGACAAGAATTTTAGGCCCCATGAAATAGCCCAGGTGAGGGGTGTAACATGCTGTTGACTAGCTTGCTTTGTACTTCAAAGAAAAACAAAAGATTCTACAAAGTGTCAGCATCTGTGCAGGGATTGCAGTGGAACTTGGTACTACTTCCACCATACTTCAAAGACTTCAGATCCATTAGGTAGATTCCCTCCTACAAATCAATTACTCAAAGAATCACATGAACCTTCACTGAATGCTACTGGATGTCTTTTGTTTCATGTGGGTTTTTTTTTAAAAACCAACAAAACAAAAATACAACCCTGAACATCACAGTCATACGTGTATAACCAGAGCAACAGAAAAAAGCTGGACTACTGCAGAACAGATTAGAGAGCTAGAATAAGAGACCTGGCCCACACCAACTCCTGAAAGACCACTCTGCACTAATGATCAATCCCAGATTCACACTGCTCCAAAATTCAGTCATGGCCTCCATTGCTGTAGGTCTGACAAGACCCAACAGCATCACTGGCTTTTTTTATCTCCTAGGTAGCACATATAGATCCTCAAGACTACATACTACATATACTTTTCACTGCTTCAGTGACCAGCAGTCACTGCTGTCAAAACTCCAATACTTGCCACAAGTAGTGAAGATTACATATCTAAGTTTATATATCTAAGATTACATATCTAATTACAGGTATGTATTGGATCTGGCTGTGACCGAGTTAACTTTCTTCATAGCAGCTGGTATGGTGCTGGATTTAGATTTGTGACCAAAACAAACTAATCACAGACTCAAAGAATGTTGGGGATTGGAAGGGACCTTCGAGGATCATTGAGTCCAACACCCCTGCCAGAGCAGGACTAAATACTAGGGCAGGTCACTCAGAAAGGCATCCAGACAGGTCTGGAAAGTCTCCAGAGAAGGAGACTCCACAACCTCTCTGGGCAGCCTGTCCCAGGGCTCTGTCACCCTCACAGCAAACAAGTTCTTCCTCATGTTGAGGTGGAACTTCCTGGGCTCCAGTTTGAATCCATTGCCCCTCGTCCTGTCAGAGGGCACAAGTGACAAGAGGTTGTCCCTGCCTTCTTGACCCCCAGCCCTCATGTATTTAGAGACATTCACTAAATTCCTCCTCAGTCTCCTCCCCTCTAGGCTGAAAAGCCTCAGGTCTCTCTGCCTTTCCTCGTAAGGCAGGTGTTTCAGTCCCTAAATAATCCAATTAATAATATTTTAGAAATAATAATAGTAATGATTAATTATAAACAACATTAATGATATTGCTGAACAGGATTTGCATGGCATCAAGGCCTTCTCAGTTTCTCATTCAGTCCCTGCAGTTAATAGACTGGAGCAATGAACAGTGACTGGAGCAGTGTAAAGTGATGTTTTGCTCAGGAGCTGGCTGGGCACTGGTCTAAGTGTGAGAGGTGGTGACTGATTGCCTTTCCACCTCCCCCTGCCTTCCACCTCCCCAGTTTTCTTCCCCCTTCCCTATTTTACATAAGATTGTATCAGGCATTTTCCAGCAAAGCTGAAGAAGCTAGGGGTGACTGGTCATCACAAGCATGTAATAGCAAACACTTCCTTTTTACAGAGTTAGTCACCAGTCTCCTTCTCATTCCTTATTATAAGCTCTGCTCTTTTAAATATTTCCTCACAATTTTGTGAGTACCAGATACATTCCTCATCTTTCACCCAAAAAGCCAGACAAAAATGCCCACAAGACCACAGAACCTACAAAACTATATATTTTTGTGGAGCTGATGCAGTTGTCTGCTTGTACACCAAGTCTAAGTAGGTATTTACACAGGCAACCAGAAATTAGGAAGACAAACTAAGCATCCATGGAAGTGTGTGCAACTTTCTTACCACTGGTGGTGGTTTTATTTAACTTTAATTAGTAGTGACTTCATTCTGACATTAACTGAACCAAGATAAATGTAAATCCTCCAGAAATCTTTAAAGAAATACAAAGTATATAATGAGTTCTACTGTTACTCTTCTTGCAGTCAAAGAGCTCTGATACAATCCTTCCTTCCCATTTCTAAGGGGCAAATGAGTACCTTGCATTGCTTTACTCTCTAACAACAGGGTCTACTCCCTGCTGGAACAAGCAGGCACGGAGAGTGTAATTTTAACATCAACCCGTGGGACACTTCTATGCCCTTCAGAGCAGCAACAGTGGGGCTGCAGGCACTGCCATGGGAGTAGTGTCAGGCAACATCTCCACTAATTGTAACCATTTAAGTCTAAGAACTCTCCTTCAGGCAAAATACTGAACATCAGTTCCTTGGTGCCACACCTGCTTTGATGCATTCTGAACCCATCTGCTCACCATAGCACATTGAACACTATCACATTCCGAAATCAATTTCAGATCTGACCATTGCACAGGAAGCTTTGAATGCTTCAGATAAAAAAAGTTCAGATACAAAAGAAATGCTCAGAAAACCAGACAAAAACTAACTTTTGAGGGCTGTTTCTTTGGTTTTGTGTTGTTTGCTTTATTTTTCTTTTTACATTCAAATGCATGAATCCAGATCAATGGTTCTTTTTGTAGAAGGAGCATCTTGCTGATCTTTAATTACTGCTTCAGGGCCTTCCAGTTCTCTTACAGAACAATTTCAGTGTTTAAGTAGTGCTGCCTAACAGACCATATGATGGTGAGAGCAAATGCAAATTACATTTGTATTGTAGCTTAATATGAACTATTAGATACTAAGGAAAAAAACTACCATATATTAAAAGCAGCGTTCTCAAAATACTATTTAAGTCAAGTGATTTAAGAATCCAGTGCTTCAGACTATCCAACATTGTCAATGTAACTGGACTCTTCCTATTATAATTTCTCTGTTCCAAGAGCACTTGCTGTAAAGGGAAGTTTCTCCATTTTATTGGCATTTTAATAGAGAATTCTCTATCACCCTTACTAGCACTTAACACTTTGAAATTCGTTTTAAAATTAAAAATAATCTGAAACATATAAAAAGCCTGTCTTGTCTCTCACTTTAACTTGTAAAACATTCTGTTTCTGGTGAAACGCTGTCCATTCATCAGTGACCCTAGAACAGGATGAGTGGAGAACAGTAGGTTCAGAAAAAAAACTACAAAAAAACCCAACCCAAACCAAAACCTCGCTTAACCATCTTATCTTTCTACCACCTCTCTTCACGTTCTACTGTCCTCTACCCACAGACCCAACTCCTCCCTTCCCATTCTTCCTTGTCTCTTTCTCCTGTTGAACACTCTTAAACAAAATTGAAGTTACTGAAGTTTAATTGCTCTATTGCTTGCATTTAGTTTTCCCCAAGCAAATAACTTCTCCTTCTTTATTTCAAAACCCATCACACAGAAGTTACCTTGCACCCCTAGGAGACAGGGTAAAAAGATGCTTTTTGGAAGACTTTGAAGAATCATCCTTTAAACATAAACAATCTCCATGCTGCCTGGATGATAAATTATCCCATTCTACTGCAAAACTGTAAAGAAACATCATCCTAAAAATATCCAGGAGGTATAAATTTTTATAATTATATCTTTTTAAATATAATTGGGCTTTGATAATTCATGCAGCAACTTTCTCATTTCTTATTTTTTTCTTACAACATTAGTGTCCACCAAGTGCTCTAAAATCAATCACATTTGTCCTGAAGTGTGCTGGATAAGGCAGGTTACACAGCTTATTTCAGCAAAGATTCAAGTTACTTGAGCAAAGTGCAAGTTTACAAGATGCAGCCATTTGTGGAGGGAGACACCACTGTGCAAATCTGGTGAGGAAAAAATTTGTTTAGCAAAAAACCTCCAATTATTTCCCATCATGAACTTTTAAATTCAGATCTGAACTATCAAACCACAGAACCTAAAACCCTTTCAACAAAAGTAATGAAAAAGAATCCACTACTATTATCTTGAATTTTACTTTCAGGAGTAACAATTCACAGATATCCAAAGACAGACACAAAGAGAAAACCAGGACGAGTGTGTGTTTCCTGCTTATTGCTACAGCATCTGACTGGACTTAAAAAAAAACAACCACAAGAGTAGCTCAGTTTTGAATATTACATGTACAACTGCCTCCAAAACCTTCAGGCGGTTATGCCAGAGAGAGCTATATATAACTGAACAGCTATATTTGAGAAACAATAAATCTGTACAGTTAAAAGCTTTACATTTAAAAGATACAAGCTAAACATCTTTAAAAGAAGAGAGTAAGTACAGGGTATGTTGCTACATTTCCATTTAGAGAATCGTTCTCGGAAGGCAACAATGATCCCCAGGTGGCACACTGAAGACAGGAATATACAATTGTGCTTTCTAAGCAACTTACTGGATATTCTTTAAAGAAATATTAAGGGAGGAAAATGATCTTAATGTGAAGTGCTCAAAACATTTCAGTGCCAAAAGCCAAGTAAAAATCAAGGATGAGAGGAATTAAAGGTAATATTAGCAGGGCTAAAAGCAGAAGAGGGTGTAGACAGTTTTGGACAGTCCAAGGGAAATGGAGTCCATGGAGAATGGGGATTAACAGACAATTTTTACAAAGCAATTATCTGTTAATGGCCTCTATAGTTTGTTCTTATCCTACCAACAAAGCAGAGCCACAGATATTAGAGTTTCTTGTTTCAAGACCAGAGGGCTTTGATGCTCCCGAGTTCAAAGAGCAACTGATGTATCAGGCTGGTGGCAACATTTATGATGGTTCTTAGTTCACGAAGATCACTCCACATCACATGAACCCAAGAGAAAATGTAACCTCCTGTGCAGACTCTGTATAAGGTACCTAGGACCCCCAAGGGCTCTTTTCCAAGTGCTTGGATATCAAATTGACAAACATTGACACTGCAAACATAAAACAAATTGCAAACATTGACAGAAAAACAGCTGTTGTCACAAAAAGGTGTTTTATGATAGTTGCTTCTTCCAGTACATATGATTTAGAAAGCACAACAAAGACTTAATATGAATAAGCTTCCTAGCCTCAAAGAGCAGAAGTAACCTCTTCTAGCTCTCCCCCTGCCAAGATCAAGAGGGACAGGGATCTACTGGTGAGAGTCCAACAGAGGCTACAAGGATGATGAAGGGACAGGAACATCTACCTGATGAGGAAAGGCAGAGAGACCTGAGGCTTTTCAGCCTAGAGGGGAGGAGACTGAGGAGGAATTTAGTGAATGTCTCTAAATACATGAGGGCTGGGGGTCAAGAAGGCAGGGACAACTTCTTGTCACTTGTGCCCTCTGACAGGACGAGGGGCAATGGATTCAAACTGGAGCCCAGGAAGTTCCACCTCAACATGAGGAAGAACTTGTTTGCTGTGAGGGTGACAGAGCCCTGGGACAGGCTGCCCAGAGAGGTTGTGGAGTCTCCTCTGGAGACTTTCCAGACCTGTCTGGATGCCTTTCTGAGTGACCTGCCCTAGTATTTAGTCCTGCTCTGGCAGGGGGGTTGGACTCAGTGATCTTTGAAGATCCCTTCCAATCCCCAACACTGTGATTGTAGCTAAGTAGGGAATGATCTATTTTCCCTCTTCCAATAAGGAGAAGAATATTGGTATTTAAACATTGTTACCAATCAGGCATCCATACCCAACACCAGTGCCACGCGACAAGTATCTCTGCAAAGCTGGAAATCTGCTAGAAATACAGCTTTATCGAGATTGTTGTATAATTAACACAAAGTGAAGTGTTTTATATAAAGCTGCAGAACAAGGAAAAGGTTTTCACGCAACCAAAGTGTAAAGTCTGACACCATGATTTAACAGTCAAGGGAGCCCATCTAGTTGTTTGTGGCATTAGAAGAACAAGCTTGTTTGCTCTGAACCTCATCAGATCTTTCCATGGTTTATTTAATGCAATAAAAGAGCAGAACACTTCCTATTTTTTTGCTGAGGTGGTTTTTTTGTTGTTTTTTTTTGTCAAGTTGGTGAATTAATGAGCTCAGAGGCAAGTACTGGGGTTTGCAGGTTAAATGACAGGAGAAGATGGAGAGGAGGAATATATGGTTTCCTCAGGAGGGGAAGAGATGGGGCAGGTCCTGATCTCTTCACTCCTGTGAGCAGTGACAGGACTGGGGGAAATGGCAGAAGCTGCATCAGGGGAGGTTTAGGTTGCATATCAGGAAAAGGTTTTTCACCCAGAGGGTGGTTGAGCACTGGAACAAGCTGCCCGGGGCACTGGTCACAGCACCAGGCCTGCCTGAGTTCAAGAAGCCTTTGTGCTTTGTGCTCTCAGGCACATGGGGTGATTCTTGGGGTGCC